CCAACAACAACAACCAACAACAATGATGAAAACAACCAATTCGAATTTTACAATCATCAAAAAAAAAAAATTTCACACACAAATCATTCCATCATACATTGCAGTCATCATCATCATCATCATCACCCATTACCCATCATCATTATCATTTTCAACCCTGATGATGAAGGGACAAACACAAATTTGATCATGTCATCACAACAGACATAAATTATCATATTTTTATTCTCATTCGAACCCAGACAGAATTTCCAGCGACAAATCGAGACAGACAAACAAACAAACACACAGAGAAAAAATAAATTAAATCGATTGCAAAATTTTTTGCAACAATTTCTTATCATTTCATTTTAAATTTGTCATCAAGGTGAGGTCATATGCATGTTAATATCATTATACAAGAAAAAGAAATAATAATAATAATAAAAAAAGACAAAACTATATGAAATTAAAAAAAAATCTACAACAACGACAACAACGACAAAAAATACATATACATAAATTTTTTTTTTTTTTATAACAATTACATAACACCTATCGAAAATGAATCCAAATAATAACAAACAAGAATAAGAAAAACAAAAAAATGAAAAAAAAAAAAACAAAACAAAACACACACAAAACAAATGATTGCATTAGAATGTGACATATTCTTTTCGAGAGAGAGAGAGAATAAGAAAAATTAAAACAAGTTTGAAAAAAAAAAATTAAAACAAGTAGTGACATTATGTCACATAAAGAGTTTTTTTTGGTCAAACTATAATCGAGTAAATTCCACATGGTATGTTTGTAATGAATAAAATATATATACAAACGACAAACAACAATTCCTAACCGACCACAATTCAATACGAGAAAAACAACAACAGCAACAACAACCATGCCAAAATGAAAACAAATAAATATCTTATGATAAAATAATAAATTTAAATGATGGTGATGATGATGATGATGATGATGATGATAAGAGAAAAGAAAAAAAATCTACAGAAATCTATAAAGATGAGAAAAAGGGGTGAACGCCCATAACCATATAAGAATAGAAAAAAACGTGGTGTGTGTTTGATGGTGGTGGTGGCGTTTGTTTGATTGTTTGATTGTTTGTTTGTTTATTTACCTGCCGATGGCAGACAATTCCTTGTCGTCCGAATGAATATATTCGTCCTTAAACCGATGCTCCTCTCCTCTAAACACTGACATTTCAAACTAAACCACACTAATTAACACACTACAACTATTAAAACTAAAAAAAAAATTTTTTCTTTCTATTCATTAAAAATTTCTTTTTTTTTTTTTTTTTTTAAATTAATAATAATATTAGTATTATTATTAATGTATAGTTTGATAATAATAATAATAAAACTTAATCCTTTTTGTTTTTCTCTCTCTCTTTCTCGTTTGAATAATATTAATGGTAGTAGTAGTAATAATAATGATGATAATAATAAGAGAGAGAAAAAGAAAGTTTGGAGAGGAGTAGAGAGAAAAAAAAAAAAAAAAAAGAAGAAAAAAAAAACAGTAACAACGACGACAACAACTATTTACAACAAACACGCGCACACACACAACAACAATAACAACAACAACAACAAAAAATTCAAAATAATTAAAGATTTAAAAAAAAAAAAAAATCACACACAGGCACGCACGATACGCGACGTACTCGAAATGTAATGGCGGGAAGCAGCTGAAATCTAACTCTATTGATATTCAACCGCGTTCTTATTGAAATTTTTTTTTTTTTTTTAAATGCAAACCCTTCGAATTCCGCTTAAAAATATATCGATTATTGATTGATAAAAAATCGATTTGAATAAAATGAATGGTAAAAATACATTTTTATTTAAAATTTACAATATTTTTTTACAAATTTATAGGGATTAATTTTTATACGCGTATGTTAATAGTAAATTGTGATGCGGGTGATGCGGTACAAACATCTGCCAGCTGAACTCCTTGGCCTTCTGCGCAGTAAATAACTCAGGGGTGTCCAAAATTTAATTTGAAAAAAAAAAAAAAAAAATTTTTAAATTTAAGAAGATAAAAATAAATCAATTCAATTTACAAATGAAAAATTATTTATTTATTTTTCTCGTTTTCGTCACGTTCGATTTGTTTTTTTTATTTCCCCCCGCTTTCTTACCTCCCCGATAAAAAAAAAAAAAAAAAATTTTTTTTTTTTCATTACTACGACTACTCGTGGTGGAAAAAAAATTTTTAATTTGACGACGCCATATTGAAAAAGTAGTACCGCGCCGCATTTGTACGCGGGTTTTGTGTAAAAAATTTCTCGTACGCCGGCCATGTGATCGTTAATTCTTCTACTTCATTCTCCTCCTCCTCCTACTTTTTCGTTCACGTTTTTTTTTTTTTTTTAAATTACAAAATGGACAAAATGATTTAATAATATCGTTTATTAATAATATCGTTCCACCATCATCAATAATTAATTAATTAATTAACGAATTTTTTATTTCGTTTATTATAATAAAATTAATTTTTTTAAACATGTTTACTTTTTATTCATATTCGTACGCGCGCACGAATCAACGCGATTACATGAAAAATTTTAACCGTCGAATTCCAACAAAAAAAAGAATTTTTCTTCTTTTTTCTCGAACGAAGAAATAAATCAAATAATAAATAATAATAATAATAATAATAATTAAATAAATTACCGTTGAAAAAAAATTATGCGTGTGTGTGCGTGCGCGCGTATTATAATATCCATCGTATTCCTTAAGAATCTCAACGATTTTTTCAAATAATAATAATAATAATTAATAATTAAAATGAAGGAAGAACGGGGGGGGAAGGGGGAGAGGCAAAAAACAAATTTTCAAAATCACGTCATTATTATTATTATAATTCGCTGGAGAAAAAAAAAAGAAAATTCGATAAAAACGTTATTATTATTATTATTATTTATCATCATCAATTAAATAATTTTTTTTTTTTTTTTAAATTTTTTTTTAGAAATTTCGATTCCGTCGGAATTTTCGCGACGACGATGACGACGACAACGACGAGAATTCTTTCCCTCCTCCTCCCCCGCTTTTACGACCGTTATGTACCCCCCCCCAATAATAATAATAATACCATCCCACTCTATCATTTTACAATTGAAATAAGATAAATTTATCGATCCAACAATCGATTTATCGATTTTTAATCGATTATAAATCGACCGTCGGAAAGCAAATAAAAGGGGGGGGGAGGAGAACGGGGGGCGTGAGTAAATTATAATCGAGTATAAATTTCTGTTTGGATTTATTTATTATTTATTTTATTAATTATTATTATTATTATTATTATTATTTTAAATTAACGTCCCGATTTTCGATTATCAGGTTTATTAATAATAATAATAATAATAATTTTGTACTTGCGCGCGAGATGCCAACAAAAATAAATAAATAAATAAGAAAACCCGCGAAATTATACGGATCACGTGACACGAGCGCGCAACAACAACAATTTTAATAATAATAATGATAATAAAAACCTGAAACGGTGCGTTGATTAAAAAAAAAAAAAAAAAACATTTTCGTCAATAGCACACGCACTCGCGATACCTGTCGCCATTACAAATTCTTAACTACAATGATAATAATAATAAAGGAGGGTCTTTTATAGACTTCCTACGGGAGTTTCAGCAGGGATGCGGCTTCGTATGAGTCCCACACCTCCCTGCAACCCAGTGGGAAGGTCAATACCCGTCAGAAATGCTACATTTCTTCTGGGTTAACAAAAAAAAACGACGCCGACGACGACGACAATTCTCTCTCTCTCTCTCTCTCTAACGTTTCGTCACGCAATAAAAAATGCGTACATTATTATTATTATTATTATTATTATTATTATTATCATCATTATTAATTTTGTTATTTAAAAATAAAAAATAATAAAAATAAATAAATAATAATAAAAAATTAAAAAAAAAAAAAAAAAAACCTTTCCACAATTCTTTCTCTCTTATTATCAATACTACCATTATTATTATTATTATTATTATTATTATTATTATTATTATTATTTAAATAAATCGATGACGAAGGCAACTAGTGACGTAATAATATACATAATCGATAATTAATTTCATAAAAAAATTAAAATTAAAAAACACAAACACGTGAGAAAACATTTTCCTTTTCTTTTTCTTTTTACAAACTTAATTATTTATTTTCTCTCTCTCTCCCTCTCTCCTCTCTCTTTTTCTTTTACGAACGAAAAAAAATTAACTAAATAACTTACTAACTAACTAACTAAACTAACTAAATTAACTAAATTAACTAACTAACTACACCAAAACTAACTAAATCAATAATTGATTGATTGATTGATTTATCGATTCGTATATTTATAAAAAAAAAAACAAAAAAAATCAAAATCAAATTCGAATCATCATCATCATCATCATCATCGTCGTCGTCGTCGTCATCATCACCGTCACGAAAACGCGACGACTCGCGCGACCGCAATAAAAAAAAAAAAAAAAAAATTTAAATAATAATCACGATGATTATTGTTACGATAATAACTATTTCTATTATTATTATTATTATCATTATTATTATTGTTGTTTGTTGTTTGTTGTTGTTGTTGTTGTAGAGAAATACTGCATATTAACGTCCTTGAATAATCTTCGCCATGATAAAAACCCAGGAAATCTCGTCGTTGCCGTCGCCGAACGACTCTTCTTTCCATTTTTCCTCTTCTTTCTTTTTTCATTCAATCATTCAATCAATCATTCACTCATTCACTCATTCATTCATTTCATTATATTTTTTTTTTACTATTAAACTTGTCCATAAAATATAATTTTATAAAATCAACGTACAGCAAAGTTTTAACCTTCTTTTCTAAATCATTTTTATTTCTTTTCCATATCCATCTCCTTCTTCATCTACTCCTCCTTCTTCTTTCTATTCATCATCATCATCTTCTTCTCCTTCTTCTTCTTCTCCTTCAAAATGAAAACACGACTGGACGAACACTCCTTATCTCAAATAACTCTTTTTCAAATTCGCCTTTTGCGATTTTATTTTCAACTGTTGTATTAAATGATAAATTTTCAACGTCGGACCGATTTTAAAACCTATCACGTCCATTATTTGATCCTTCGTGAGTGAAAGTAACGATTTCCCATCCGTTCCCTGGAAGAAAACACAAAAAAAAAAACGGGATAATGACAAGAACAAACACCACCGTGCCAAAAGTATTGTAATGGCGACGGTGCCGGCGACGGCGTGAGAGTGAGAGAGAGAGAGACAGACATAAAAATGTCGGACATGACATCAAACAAACCTGATTAATAAAATTTTCCGAATAAGCCGAACAATCGTTGACGTTTAAAAATTGAACGACGTCATCAACGGTCCATTCGGACGGATTGAGGATACCGTTTTCGTTATCGATTCCTCCTCCTCCTCCTCCACCTCCGGATGTTGGTCCTTGTCCCGCATCAACGAGCCTTGGTATAATGGTTGTACTACATGTCTGAACAAGTTCAAAAAGAAAATCGAATTAATTAATTAATTAATTATCCCGAAAGGATTTCATCCATTTTTATATAGTCGTACGCACCACGACTGAGGTAGAAACATTTGGAGAAGGAGTCGCCGAAACGGGAAGGCTTTGATCCGGACCCGAAGGCTCCCTACCCATTTCGGGTTCTTTCGTAAATGTCACGTTGCTCTCTGGTACTCCCGAACTCATGGCTGATGACAAAAATTAATTTTTCTTTTTTATTTACATTAATTATTTGAAGAAATAAATAAAAAAAAAATTCAGGGTAGAAATTACAAATATAAACAGTGGTAACATCATTGTAAAAACAATTTGTTTGTTTGTTTGTTTGTTTGTTCGTTTGTTAGATTGCGAACGATATGTACCTACTGAATAAGAACTTCCATCTCCCTGACTACAACTATCGCTGTCTGTCTCTTGTTTCAGAGTCAGGCAACGATTTTTACGATGTAAATTTTCTTTTAACTTACTATCGGATAAACCGTTGTTGTTGTTATTGTGGTTGTTGTTGTTGTTGTTTTTCTTACTTGTTGGTTTCGTTTTGATCCTCTTACGCCTTTTTTTACTCGGATATGGTTTTTGTATAGATCTTGGACCTGAAACCGTTCAAAACAAGAAATAAGTAAAAATCGTTCCTTCTTCGACGACAAACAAACATTTCCAACCGTTACCTTCTAGTTTGTGCGACACCATCGAACACCATCCGACGGGATAAATATCGGGACTTTCGAAATCCAACCACTGATCGTATTCCTCTTCCCAACCGTCGAAATGAATTTTTAACAAACGACCCACGACTCTGGCAACCGTCGCCACGCAAACCAATCTCGGATCCATCAAATCCGCAGCTTCCAAATGCATACCGACTTTGAAACCGTAATCGGGAACGATCTGCAAACCCAAAAAAAAAAAAAATTGCTTTTGAAGGAAAAACGACCGACGGAAACCAACTCGAAATCACATTTTCACTCTCTCACCTTTTCGAAAAGCGATTCCGGAGCTAGAACGGCGGATGTTTCCCCTATGTAATCGTTCCAATCGAAAACGGGTTTGTTGTAGTCTTTGGGTGGTATGAGAGGAATCGAATTTTTTTCACTAAATCTAGGTGGGAATATACAGGGTGACGAAGAATGATAACAAAACCAATCCGAACCCGTCGCATCCGGAGGATAACTGTCTATTCTAATCATGAGATAATTATCTTTCAAAACCTACGAAACATAAGAAAAAGGATGACGCTCACATTTAAAAATACCAGCAACAAAAAAACCGTTAAAAAAAAAGACTTTTACTTTCATCACAGTCGCTACGCATATGGACCCTAAATTTAACGGATCGACGGCTTCCAATTTCATACCCTCTTCGAATTTACCACTCGAAAGTGCGTCACGAGGAGTCGAAACGGATGTTTGAAAAGGGGCAGTGAATAATTCTTCGGTCGCATCATCTTTTTCTATGACCCCACTTTCGCATCGTTCTATGTAATCCTCGGGAGCTTCGATCAAATGGCCCACTCTTGATGCCCAACCCACGGGATGTATCAATGGAGAATCTTCGTGACACCAAAAACCTAAATAACAATAATAATAATGTTAATAACGATAATTTACCAAAGCAGTATTGTGTGCACGTGCAAATAAGAAAGAAGGAAAAATCCATAATAACAACCGTTATCGTCCGGTTCGGCGTTATAATATTCCACGTGTAATCTTTTACCAACGATTCTTTTCACGGACGCCACGCAAACTTGGGATATTTTATTCTTATCGACGACTTCCATATTTAAACCGACTCTAAACCTTGATTTTAAACTATCTTGAACCTTTGTGTAAAAATTAGATGGGAGCGTTCTCGCTCCCGTGAGTTTTTCCACTAAAAACTCTTTCCAATCTTTATATTTGTGTTCGATGGCTATAAAAAAAGAAAATTAAACGATTAATCATGATGATGATGATGTTGATGATGTAAAAGGAATTTTTTTTTTAAAATTTTAAACTCACTTTTAGGAGGGATGAGGGGTTTACCTCGAGTGGCACACCACCCGACGGGATGAACGTTGTTACTACACAGATTAACCCAAAAATCTTTGTCGTTATTTTGTTCGAAACCCTCGTACCGAAGAAGTGCTTTGTACCCGGCGATTTTCAATACGGTGGCAACCCAAAACGAATCCGGAAAAGCTTCGCAATAATCTTCGCAATCTTTATTTTCGACTTCGACTTTCATACCGATCGTTATGTTATCCCACGAATCAGACATTGGAACCTGAATTTATTATAATAAAAAAATTAAACAAAAAATCCCCATAAACGCAAATGCGAGTTTTATAAGAAAAAAAAAAAAAAAACAAAAGGTACGTTTTTAAAACAGGAAACAGGCACGGCTACGAAATTAGATTCGGATAAATGATCGCTCCAATTATACGATCCAGCCAATTCTTGTTTTAGTTTTTTATTCGGAGCACAAATAGCATCTTCCTCTGGAAGTTCTAATTTTGGAAATTGAAATTTAGATGCCGGTGATGTACAAGAAAAAGATGGCAAATTTTCAATCGAAGGTGGACCCAAACACATTGGAATGGGTTCTTTTGTAACTAATTCCGACTCGTCCAAATCCACACCATCTTCGAACTAAATTTTCCAATGCATTAAATTTATTTTTTTTTTTGTAATTCAATAATTAATATCACGTGATACATAAGTTTGGTTTAAATAATACCTTGAAAGATTGATAGCTGTTGTGTTCTTGAACGTTTTGAGAATTTTGTGAATTTTGCGAATTTTGAGAGGTTTGAGAATTTTCATCTTCTAATCCAGGTTCGCATTTAACATCTGTCAAACCTAAAGATCCTCTCGCACAAGCTAAACTACAATAATTTCTATGTCTAGTGTAAAATGCATGTTTTACTCCTATGGCACCACATTTTTCGCAAATGGCTAAAAAAAAAAAAAATTCAGGTTAAACACCAGAACCTTAAAAATTACAAAATAATAATAATACTAATAATAATTAATTACCCATTCCATCTTTTTCTATGGGTATAACATTAGGATCTGTATCACATTTATATGCGATTGGAGTTTGTAATTTTAATCCTGGATGTTTGATGGCTTTTATTTTTCTACATTTTGTAGTGGAAGTTTGAGTGGCAGCCGTTATAAATTTGGGAGGTTCATCGCAAAATGATGGCTCATAATCGTGCATCATTAAAAATCTACAAAAACATTTAACATTTACCATTACATGATTTACAATCCAAGAAAAATGGAGTAGAAAAAATTATACCCCTCTATTTCCATCGGCTGCTCTGGCATTGTTTCGAATGATGGCGGCACTGCCATTGGATAGTATGGATTGTCAAGTTGTACAGCTGATGGATCCATTTGTAATATTTCAGTTGAGAGTGATTGATTTCCACCTTGTCCCTGCGACAGTGCTATTTGACTCGAATTCATCCACATCATACCATATTCTGTACAAAAAAAATTTCTTTGTTTAATTGCATCATCACCAACAGGAGGACAATTACTCAACGTTATAAACTGAAACATTTATCTAAATCCGTTAGAAATTTAAATTTATCTACGCTAACGTAAATTGCAAAAAAAAATTCTTTTGGTTTAAAATAAAGGGGTAAATATTAGGGTTGTAAAAAAAAATTTTTTTTGTGTAGTTATTCAATTAATTGTCGATAAAATAAATTTAAAAAATTTAAAACTCAAACGTTAATTTTTTATTTAAAAATAATTGGCGTGTATTGAATAAAAAAAAATAAAATCTCTTAATTTATTTTAAATTAGAGAGAGAGAGAAAAAAAAATTTTTTCTTTTTTTTTTTTCTTCTCCCCACAATGCGACAGCATAACTTTTATCCAGTTTGATTTAACCAGCATTTAAAACATAATGACAATTCGTCAGATAATAAGAATTAAAAAAAAAAAAAAAAAAAAAGCAAACGACTAAATAAAAGATAATAAAATGAATCTTACAAATGAAAAATTATTAGCGTTAATTAAATAATAAAACGCCGTTAAATAATTAAATATAAAAAAAATTTTAATAAAAATAAAAAAAAAAAAAAAAAAACATTTATTCAAAACTGTACTGAAAGACGCTTACCACTCTGTGTCGCCATATTTATTTCCATTATGATCGTTTAAAAAAGGCGGTGGAATCAAAATGAAAAAACGGACAAACATGTAAAAAATAAAAAAATTAAATAATATATTTATTTAAAAATTTTTTTTTTTTTATTGATAATAATTGATTTATTCTTTTATTACATTTTTTTCTTTTTAATTTAGTTTGAAAATTGAAAACTTTTAAATACTTTTCCCGCGTTGTTATTAAAATAATTAATTATTAAAATGAAAAAAAAAAAAAAAAAAAATTGGCGCAACTTTACAAAATTAATTAAATACCATTTTTTTTTTCTTATTAAAACAAATATTATCGAGTTTGTAATACTTATTTAAATATTTAATTAATTTAATATAAAAGCGATTAATTCATTTTGGTAAATATTTTAATAATATTAATATTTTTACCCCCAAAAGTTCGTTCGTAAACACGAAATGTAAACAAATAAAAAATTATAATTATTGATTTGTATACATTTTTCATATTTAAAAACTGGCAAATCGTATTTACTTTAATTAAAATTAAATTAAATGTATATTTTTGTAAAATATATAATCATTGAATAAATTATAATTCAAAAAAAAAAAAAAAAATTACCAATAACTATATTTGTTCCAACCTTAAAAAAAAATTTTTTTTTCTTTTAAAATCTAATTGAAATACTTTAATAATTATTTAAATATTATAAAAATGTTCATAAATAATTAAAAAAAAAAAAAACGTTACGTTTTGAATTATATTTTGTATTATAATTCCCGTATTTAATTTAAAAAAAAAAAAAAAAATTCTGCCTACTATTGTTTTCAAAATCAAAATAAATAATGGCGAAAACCATAGAAAAACATAATTTCGATAAAACCATAGAGATACATGATTTCGATTCAACCACATACAATTGTCTAAACTAAAAGTGAATTCAAATTTATTTTTTTTATTTTTATTTTTTTTTTTGAAAACTCATTTTAAGTTTGATAACAATTCGTAAAAATTATAATTAATATTAATAATTTAATTTAAAAAAAAGAAAATAATAATAATGGAATAAACATTTCACGTTCGTTACGTAAAAATTTTTTTTTTTTTATTTTTATTTTTAAGACGAAATAAATTTTTAACACAAAAAAAAAAAAAAAAAATAGGCGAGTTTTATTTACGTTATTTTTTACAAACGTATGTAATTTTTTTTGTTTTAATATCGTGTTCGTACGTAATTTTTTATTATTTTTATAAACGTTCGTTAATTTATTATCGTAATTTTATTATATTTTATTTTAAATAATTAAAAAAAAAACGTTTGATTAATTATTTTATTACAGTTAATATGATCGGACAATTGAATACGTTTTCTACGCCGCCTAATTTACGAGACAAAAGCTCATTGTTTTTCAAACGTTCATTGTTTATACTTTTCGGTGGAGGTATTATATTATTAATTCTCAATTCTAATACGAAACCGCCAGGGAAATTAGAAATCGATTATTTTATATTATCGCAAAGATGGCTTCCAACTGCTTGCATATCGTTCAAAGAAAAAGGCTCAAAGTAATAACATCTGTTAATTGTTTTCATCGATAAAATTTCAACACAAACGATTTGTATTTATGTCGTTTGTTTAAATTTCACTTGCAGACAATGTTTATTACCTGGAGATCCTGACAGGTGGACCATACACGGTTTATGGCCACAAAAGGGTAAAATAAAAGGACCGTTTTATTGCAACGGTAGTTGGAATTTTGATATAACACAAATAGAACCCATTGTGAACGAAATGAGAATACATTGGCCGGATATTCAACATCCACAATCGACATCATTTTGGAATCACGAATGGACAAAACATGGAACTTGTGCAGCATCGGCATCAATCGATTATCTCGACACACAATTGAAATATTTTGAAAAAGCACTCGATTTGTATAAACAATACAATTTAAATGAGATATTTAATCGTTTGAAGGTTGTGCCATCACCGAACGGCATCTACGTGAGAGATTTAGAATTTAGAATGAGAAATCTATTAGGGAGAGATGTTTACATTGAATGTTACAGAGGAGTAAGAAATTTAATACAAAACTATTTCATTCATTAAACCAAAAATAATAATAATAATAATAATGAATTTGTTTTTTTCCTTTGTTTTAGGTTTCGATAAAACAATATTATTTAAACGAAATTCGTTTTTGTTTTGATATAAATTTAAATCTCATCGATTGTGAAGTGACAATTAAAAAGAATAAAATTAATAAAGATGAAAAAGGATATGAATCTGATGTTCCGACAAATTGTCCATTGGATTCACCAGTGACATATTCCGGTAATTCTCATTTAACATCTTATCGAAAACAATTGATAAATGCTGAAAACATTCAAACCTATGAAAAATATTTGCAAATTTACAAAATAATAAAATTTTTACAAATGATATTTATTTAAAATATGTAAAAAAAAAAACAGAAGGTTGAATGACATTATGAATGATCTCAAAAATCAAATTGAAATTTGTGTGATAAATAACTATTTTTTTGTGTTGTGACATGTTTTCTGTGATAATAATATTTTTATCGACAAGTTAATAATTTTATCTCTTTTTTTTTTTTAAAAACTATTAAATTTTATTGACCAAAACTTAAAAAAATAAGAAAAATTAATTTTATTTTATTAAAATCAATCATGTTCTTATAATTATCATCATTTTTATTTTTATAATCGAAACTATGTATTGATTCATCATTATTATTTTTTTTACCTTTAATCGATAAATTATTATGATGAGGTTGATTTATTGATCCTTTAGTTAAAAAAAAAATATTTTCACATATGCAGAATGTGCCTTTTATAATAATAATAATAATTTAAATTGCAGAGTTTAAAAATTTATTAACATAACACAAAGATTTTGGTTATCGTTATAATGATGATGTAATAAAATTAATTATTTTTCTTCTTAATCATTATTATTATTACTAAATGATTTTCTTTTTTTTATTATTGTTTTGTTTTATAATGTTGATCAATTAAATTTTATTAATGTCTTTTATTGGGGACAACAAAAGACAATCGAAAAGGATCATCTCGATTGTCATTTGTTTTTTTATATTTTCAATTATTATTATGATTTACCTGAAAAAAAAAAGTATCAAAAGGTGATTGATTGATTGATTGATAATGATAAAAAATTGTTTTGTAAATTTAATAAATATATAAATATATTTAATATAATTTTATTTTATTAAAATATTATTTTTTATTTATTTATTAACATTAATAAAATGTTTCACATTCGAATGTAAATTTAATATCAATTTGTGTAAACAATACCATATAAAAAAAATAATAATAAAATTTTTGGCTTATGTTTCCGGAAGCATAATGGTTACAATATAAATAAAATAATTTACAAAACCGATTTTGGCAATGTTATAAATTTTTCTATGTGGGGGGCTACCAAATGAGGCTCATCATTATGAACATCATGATGACCGGGAATGGAAACGATTTGAAAATTATTTTTTTTATTAAAAAATTGTAATGTTTCATAATCTAAATGACCCTTACGATAAGATTCGACAAATTTTAAATAAGAATTTGTTATTATAATTAATACTGAAGATGTTATGTGTGAAATGACATTGAAATGAATTTCAGGTGTTATGGGTGCCTGTAAATTGTATTTTAATCTTTGATCTGTTGAAAAGTAATAAAAATTATTTTTATTTTTTTTCAACGTTCTCAAACTTAAAATTTCGGCTCCTTGTTTTGATATGGGTGACATTCGACTATTGATCAACCTATTAATCGCTTCTTCATGAGTATAATTAGGAGGATTTGAATTTGATAATTTTTTTTCTAATTCAATCATTTTTTTAATACTATCCTTGCAATGTTGCAAATGTCGATCCAATGGTACTGCAAATGGTGCCAATGTATCGAGCATGATGAGTTTTTTAACCTCTTCAGGATAAAAAGCTGCATAGTATGATCCCAATTGTCCACCGAAACTGTGTCCCACTATTATAAATTGCCTCCATTCGAGTTGTAATATGACTCTTCGTACGGAACTTAAAAATAGCATAAAATCCAAGAAAACACCTTTTGGAAACCTTGTGGATTTACCATGACCTGGAAGATCTATGCAAACGTAATAAAATGAATCGGGTAACAAATTAACGAGTCTATCGAACGTTCCTGCGTTATCTTGTAGTCCGTGAATCATTAGAACGGGTGATTGTGATGGATCTCCCCAACATTTTCCCTCTATCACTCCCCATGGAACTGGAAACGTTAAATCTAAACTTTCCGATTTCGAACGTAAAAATTCACCGTGTTCCGTCATTTGATTAATTTTTTTCTTTTTTTTACACTTGTAACGAATCTTCAAAATCGTACTTTATTCCCTCTCTCTCTCTCTCTTTCACATTGTACGAATTTTTCAAGGTAATAACCTTTGTAATGAAAATTATCTCTTGAATTTATAATTATATTTATTATTATTATTTCTTCTTTTTCTTTTAATTCATTTTCCAACCAGTAGAGTTCGCGAAATAAAAATGGAGGAACACACTTTTTTTTTAGTTTTTGTATGAAAATTAATATTTATTTGTTAATTTATACCGGATAAATATTCAAATTTAAAAAGTTTTAAGTAAAAAGTTTATAATTAAAGTGAAATAAAAACAAACAAACAAACAAACAAACGCGACAACAACGTTAACAATCAATCGTGTAAAGTTTGGGCTATTGCAATAAGCGTCTTAACAATGTAAAAAAACGGTTTTTTTCTTTAAAAAAAGAATATCTTTTTTAAAAAAAAGTGAAAACGAATGAAAATAATAAAAAAAAATGAAAATCTAAATAGTGAATTAAGTTTGAAATTGAGAAAAAAAGAGAAAAAAAAGTGAAATTCAAATCGTGACGTAACGGTTTTTTTCTCACTCAAAATTCGAATCGCAGGTTAAAAAAAAAAAGCAATATGGCGGGTGTGTAAAAATATTTGATAATTTGAATACGATCGACACACGATGTTTGTTGTACAAACGATTGTTTTTCCAATCGTAATGTTATCGATTTACTCGTTATGTAATAAACATCGTCAAAAATGGCAGCACATCTTAATTGAATGAATATTTCATCGGATATAAAATTCGATGAATTAACTGTCATGGCGACGTGATTATCGTTAAACCTTTTTAAAAATTTTTCCGGTATCTGAAAACGAATGAAAATTTTTACTTCGCGTTAAAACGAATAAATGGAAAATTTTTTTTTTATAAAAATCACTCACGGGTATAACGTTCCAATAAAAAATTAATTTCGTCGATGATATTAACGGTTCGAACGAACAATTAGCAATAATCAAATCGCCGATTTGAAAATGTCGATTCATAACGGAAAAATTAATATTTAAATTAACGACAGTTAAATTACCGGAACCTTTGCAAGTTTTAAATTTAGGTACGTCCGTTGTTATTTCGCAACTGAATTCTCCGCTCACGTGACCTGATATGTTTGTTAATGTGACCTGATGTTTCGTCGATGTGAAAATCTACAAAAGGAAAATTTTAATTTTTATCGGAATTATCATCATCATCATCATCATCGTCGTCGTGACTTACATCCACGTAAAATCCAGGTATGTGAAAAATTTTTATCGGTGGTATTTCATCGGGTAAATATCTGTAAAATTCAAATTTTCCCCTATACCATTGTACGGAATATAACGAATCTTCTTCCACGTCGAAAAGACATAATAAATTTGCCGACGAACCGACTTGTACGATGGGTGGTAATAATATTCTAACGTTTTTTATACCCGAACAAAAACCTACCAAAAAAAAAAAAGGTTTCTATTAGCAAAAAAAAAAAAAAATTTGACCTGTTCGAATAATAATAATAATAATAATAATAATGATTAATTTACCGAACGTAAAAAAAATTAAAAAAACCGTTAAGTTAAAAATAATAAAAAAAAAAATTTCGTGTAAATAAAAATGTCGTTTAAATATCATTCTATTAATCCGAACGGTTTTTATTATCATTATCAAATGCGATATAGAAAAATTCACGCACTAAAATCACTAATAATAATAATAATAATAATGATGATGATAACGATACGAAAAATAATTTCCGAAAAAAAATTAAAAATGGCCGTTCGTTTGTCGTATTCGAAAGCGTTCGTTATTTGATTTAAAACAAAAACAATTACTTTTATTAAATTTATAATTTAAAAAACCGTTCGCATTACAATATTTAGAAAATGAACGTTTTGGCATCGAAAAAAAATTTTTTTTTTTTTTTTGTTCATTGAAACGTTAAAGGCGGAGCTTATTTGTAAATATTAATAAATTTTAAAATCGTTCCTGCCACGAAACTTTTTTTTTTTTTTGACGTTTTATGAAAAATTTCATATGGTTGAGTTTTTTATTTATTAAAAAAAAAAAAAAAATTATTTACGTCATTCTTAAAAGTTAGAATGTTCTGGAAAATAGGACGGATGTTGTAGAAAAAGGGAATTTGTTATTATTATTATTATTATCACTCATAATCGCGACGATTCGTTGTGTCGGATGAGCTTTTTCAACCTGTTATCAACAGGTTTATACCCGATCGGGGGGGGATCCCTAAGGAATAAATGCTTGAATATGTTTCAGCAGGTTTCGTCTTGTTATAATTTATGACGTCACGAAAATTCTTTTAAATCTTCCTTGAGATCGTCTTAGTCGATGGGAATTGTTATTATTATTATTTCATTTTTAAACACGACAGGATTTTTTTTGTCGGGATTTTTAAGTTCATTTATTGCAGGTTTCTACCCGACGATTCCTTAGGGATAAATGCTTGAATTTCGTTGGTGCTATTTATAGAATATTTTCCGAAGAATGTGGGCCGTCCCACATAGTGCGATTTCCTGGATGGTTTCTTCTTTTAGGTTCTTCATAATCTTCTTTAAATTTCCTTTTATTGAATGTGGCATGGCTCCCAGTGATGCTCCCACAATGACCGGAATCGTTTCTGTTTTTGTTCCCCACATCCTGGTTATTTTAATTTCCAAATTTCTATATTTCAGCCTTTTCTCTGCTTCTTTGGCTGTGGTTTTTTTTCCGCCGGTACGGATACTTCAATTAACTTACACCATTTTTCCGCATTATGCTTCTCAAGATGATATCCGGTTTGTTAGCTGGCACAGTTCTGTCAGTGTGGATTTGTTGATCATATAGAACTGTGCATGAACCTACTGTCGTAACCGGGGTCGGTGCCACTCCTTGGGTAATCCATCCATTCTATATTCTCGGCAGATATTCCAATGGAGATATTGACAAATCTTATCGTGCTTCTTTAGGCATTAATGTTTTGCCAATATCGAACAACCGGAAATTAAATGATCGATTGTTTCCGGCTGCGATAGGCAAATTCGGCACATATCGTCTTGGCGGACTTTAGGAATTACCTTCTGATAGTTATGGTTATTATTATTATCTACCATTAAACACGACAAGGCTACTTGTCGGAGTTTTTAAGTATTTATCCGAGGTTTCTACCCGATTCCTTAGGGACAAATACTCGAATTTCGGTGGTGCCACTTATTATAAGATAGCACCACATCAATTCTTGAAGGTCTTCCTGAGTCCATCTTTATTCGATGGGAACGATTTGTCTCCTGAACTGGGCTCCAGTGACTAACATCTTTGGAGTGGCCAGGGTCAGAAGCAGTGAAATTCACATTCTCGTCGAGCTGCCTCAGGTCGACAGTAGAACAATATTTGTTTTTGGTTCTCACTTTGTCTTGTTCTCATTTTTGCTCTTTTTAAGCCAACGGCACGTGGCGTTCTCAAACGGTCACCCATCCAAGTTTGCACCACGCCCGATGCTGCTTAACTTCGGTGATCGTACGGGAACCGGTGTGACCAGCACGGTATGGCCGTTGACTTTATTATTATTATTATTATTATTATTATTATTATCTTTAGCAAAATGTGAAGCCGGAAAATTTTTGTAATTTTTTTTTGCATTATTATTATTATTATTATCATCATTGTCATTACTTTTAACGTTTACTCTTGTTAATTTGCAAAAGGTTTTCCAGCAGCATTCCAGGTATTGTCTAACACTTTCAATCCCTTTGGATGATATCCGGTTTGTTACCTCTCTCACAGTTCTTCGGCTCGATATGAATTTGTTGATCACACAAATCATTTCGATTTGTTGTAACCGGATATGGAACGTGTCAGTAGTCAATTTTTTCTAAACTAAACCTTAGTAATCTTGTCAGATACGAAAACATTTTCAAATTTTTTTTTTTTTTTTTGCGTTTTTTAAATAACCGGAAATTATTACAAATGAAAATTTATTATCATTATTATTATTATTATTATTTTAATATTACAAATTCACGGAGCCTGATTTTTTTTTTTTTTTTTTTTTTTTTTTTTATGGAGAGGAGTAGGAGTAAAAGAAATTTATTAAACGTGAAACTCTTTTAACCGCATCAATGAATTCGAAAAAAAAAAAAACCGACACTTAATCAACGTCTCGTTTAATTGACGCTTTCGAGAACAAAAAACTTAAAGAAGGGGGGGGGGGGCGGAAATGAGGGTTTTTCCCCATTTAAGATTTATTACTACTTGTTTTTATTATTTCATGCCAAACGAAGTATTATTAACTTAACACGTAGAGAAACAAAAAACAAAACAAAACACATGGCAGTCGTCATTTTATTAAAAATTTTATTAAAAATAGAAACTCGACAAAAATTTTTTTTTTTTTTTTTTTTTACGAACCGGAAATTGTCATCGTTAATGTCGTCTTTTAATTTCTAACAAGAAAACGAAAAATTTTTGTGTTAAGGTTATCGGTGGAAAGAGTAAAAGAAAAAAGGTGGGAGGGGAAAACATTTTCGATATATCGAATGACTAACAATTCATAATTTTTTACGCATCCTTTATTTCGATATCTCGAACGCGAGTTTTCTTTCTTGATTTTTAACCTTTGAACTTTAAAAAATCTTTTATGAGATTTACAAGCAAATTTCTTTTTTTCTGTTGTTGTTGTTGTTGTTGTTGCTGTTGTTGTGTCACGTCAGGGGCGTATCTATAAATATAAATAAATTCACGTGTTGTTGTCTGTTTACGTTCGTTTCGAATTTAAACAAATCGAAAAGTTCTAAAAAATAAAAAATTTATTTATATAAAATTTTAACAAAAAAAAAAACATAAACATTTTAAATACTTTAAAATTTATCATTAAAACAAAAAAAAAAATCAAAATGGCGGTCAAATTTAAGGTTGGTTTATGGAATAATCGATAAGGTTCGTCAACCTTTTGCTCCCGTTTTCATTTTTCCTCCCGTTTCTCCATTTTTTTTTTTTTTTTAAGGTGAATATTTTCGTGTTTTTTCACGTGCGTCGACGATGAGAAATATTTATGACACGTGGAACATTTAAAAGGTTTTTCACCCGTGTGAGTTCTCACGTGTATATCGAAATCCTTTTTCAAACGAAATTTCCTGGGACAAACGTGACACATGAACCTTTTCCGATCGTCGTGTACGCTCTTATGCGAATTTAATTTTCCCCTCGTGCCGAATTTAGCACCGCATTCATCGCAGGGATGATTTTTTTCACCCCCGTGACATATTTTGTGGATTTTCAAACCGTGTTTAGACGCGAAACGTTTACCGCACAAATCGCATAAATGTAATTTCAAACGACGGTGAACCGAATTCTCGTGATATTGTAAATTTTTTTTCACTTTGAATAATTTTCGACATATTTCGCATGGAAAAGGTCGGTAATTTTCATCGTGTGTCGTACGAACGTGATATCTCCAACCCCCTAAAAGTATCATTATTATTATTATTGACAGAAATAAGGGAGGGAGGGAGGGAGGGATCGTTTACCTTTCGATGGATAAATTTTTGAACAGTATTTACACATGTAAACAGAAGATTTCTCTGCGATTGAGTTTCCAGATTTAGATTTTTTGCCTTTTTCATTATTCGAATTGAAAATTCTATTAATCGTACCATCTCCTCCATTACCCTTCAATCGGTTAATACTTTTATTAATTTTTACCCTTTTCAATATTATTATTATTATTATTATTGATTTCGATTTATCCGACTCGATTAATAATAATAATTTTTTTAATTGTTTATCATCGATTGAATTAACAAAAAAATTATTATTATTATCATCACGACGATTCATTTTTTTTTTTTTTTTTTTTTTAATTATTAATATGTCATCTCGTAATAATATTAACAATTTCCATTATTGTTGTTGTTGTATTGTTTGTTATGTAATGACTGATGCATTCGACTAAATTTTTTAAAATGTTTGTTTAATTATATATAAAAATGATATATTGTAATAGTTTTTGAAATCGAAGGATTGATTACTCTGAAAAATTTATTTTTTTGTTGTTTTACCTGAAATTATACGAGAAAAAAAAAAAAATTAATTAATTAATTAATACCGTTTGATATGATGACAAATTTATTTATTGTTACGATTAGTAAATGATTAATAGCAAACTCACCTTTTTTTATAAGAAAACATAATAATAATAATAAAATACTACAAATATTTCATTAAAATAAGTAATTAATACTTTTCAAAAATCTTTTTTTTTTTTTTAATAATTAATACAAAATTTTTTATAATACTTTATGTTGTAGATAAATTCATTAAAGTTTTTCATGCATATTTTTTTCTAGGAAAAAAAAAAAAAAGAAAAAAAGTTTTTATTAATTTATATTTTCTATTAATTTATTAATAAAATTAATTTTTTTTTTTTATACCTTGATAACATTAAAAATTTTAATTTAAAACATAAAAAAATAAATAAATAAATTAATTAATTAAAAAAAACTTTTTTTTTTTTCTTCTCATCATGTTACCTTCAACATGATTTACAAATAATAATACTTTGCTTAATGATAAGACGAGGTTTTCAAATAGTCTAATGCCACGTTTTATTTGTTTATTATTATTATTAAATTAAATTTCGAATACGGTTTTTTTTTTTTTTTTTTTTTTTTCTTTTCGTGTGTGCCACAAAATAAATTCAAAATGATTATCAGTCATGTTTTATTACAATGAATTCGGAATTGAAAACGAAAAAAATTGAATTAAATTGCATCGTCGACGTTGATAGTAATAAATCTAATTTTTTTTATAATATAAAAAAAACTAAAAAAAATAAAAGGCGTAAAAATAAATATAATAATAATAATAATAGAAAAAATAAAAAAGGAAAATCGTCACCGATAAATTTTAAAATAATAAAAGGTAAAACGAAATATAATAATAAAAAATTTTTTAACATTAAAATGGATTCACCGTCGTCAATGCCACAGCGTAATATTGAATATTCAAAAGGATTACAAAAAATACCATTGGATTCTACAAATACAAATACTAATACTAATAATAATAATAATAATAATAATAATAATAATAATTTAACATCATCTTGGTATTGGTCTAATTATAAAAAAGCGTTCGATTGGTATAATTATCATTCGATCGCACGTTGGAAAGCTTGTGCTAAAACGTTGGAAGAAGAAAATAAATATTTGAAACACATAATAAGAAATCATTTGCCGCATTTGATGAACGGCGGTGATGTGGGAGCAAACAATCAAGTCGCAAATGTTCCGCAAGATGTCAACAATTCACTCGATTACAATTCGAATAGTAATCTCTCTGTCAAAACACAATATTTTAATAATTATTTAAAAAATAAAATGAATAGTTATAACGAAAGCAGCAGCGAAGAAAATTTTGCATATCAATTTAATGATAATCCGATCGAATATAACGATGTCAACAATTATGTTAAACATAATGATGTAGAAATTGATGATGATGATGATGAAATTGAATTTGAATTATCGGAAGAAATGATTAAATTTTTTCAAGATTCATACAGGAGAAAAATGAAATTAGGTAATTTAATTATCTAGAGTTCTTATCGAGTGTTGACGAATTATTATTATTTATTTATTTATTTTATTTTATTTTATTTTATTTTTTCTTCACGATTAGTTAAAGAAAGGGAAGCAAATGAAAATATGATAACAATGGATAAAAAAATTGAAGAATTACATTCTAGAAAACTTAAAAGAGATGCTCAAATGAAATATTTATACGGTGATGATTCGTCGAAAATAATCGGAATGGAAACTGCAATACAATTAAGTTATGATAAATATTGCGATATGAAATCGCCAAATTATTGGCCTAACATACCACTAAATTTATGATAAAAATAGTAAAAAAATACTAATTATAATTATAATATTGTCCATTTGTTTCGAAAAAAAAAAAAAAAAACATTTTGAAAGTCAAACGACAAATCTAAAAAAAAAAAAAATTTTTTTTGTAACGATAAAATATTTTCGGTGTTTATTTGATATTTTAATAAAATTATTCAAAAAAAAAAAACTCTGGTCTTGTCGAATGATTCTGATTTTTTTTTAAAAATTAAAAGTAAGAATATTTTTGTCGAAAAGTGAGTTGACGATTTAAAAGCCATTGTTTTATTAAAACGATTTCAATGAAAGTTAATCGAAAAGGTATTTAAAATAAACTATGGGAAATATTATAATCGATTTGTGACATTATTTGTATTTCGAATTAGGAAAATCAAATTGTTTTATTATTTCAAAAGATAAATGAATCATTTTTTCAAACGTTAAATATTATTTAAATCAATTTAAAAGAGTAAATTAAGGTTTTTAACAATGTTAATTTTTTTAATTAATATTATTATTATTATAAATTCAATTTATTTTCAACCAGGTTTGGTTAGGATTAATGAATGTAATGGCATTTACATATATCATTGTAAAAACGTAGTTGTAATTATTTTAATTTACCGTTTGCATCAGTCGTGATCGAAAAAAAGACAAATTTCTATATTTTTTTTTTATTTTATTTAATATTTAATAAGTAATTAATCGGAAAAAAAAAAATTCAACTTCAGCCATTTTCGATGACGTATTAATCACGTGATTTAAAAAAATAATGGAAATTATATAATTAGTTAAAATTATTGACGATAGAGTGCACGACATTAATGTTTTTTGTTTCGTTGAGATGAAAGAAATGGATGAGAGTTAATAAATAAATAATTTTAAAATAATTTTTTTTAATTATAAAAGGGAGGGGGGGGGAAACAAAAGAAATAGAAAATTTATATCTCTATGATAATACAATTTAAAAAATTGGCATGTTGTAATCTTAATGGCGGGGGAAAGAAAAAGTAAAAAGCGACAAACATACGCAAACAAACTTTAAAGTTACCTTACCTAACAGGTAAACAAATTTTTTGTCGTCTGCTTCTGTCGTTTTTTCCGTAAAGTAAAAAAGATGATTAAGACGATGATAATTACCTTTAATAAAAAAAAAAATTCAATGTGATAACCCCTCTCTCTCTTCCTTTCTTCTCTTTTTATAGTATCCAACCGATAGTTCTTTTGCAAAAAAAAAAAAAACTGAAATATACAAACGACATCGAAACGGTTATAAAATAAAAAAAACGATTTTAATATATTTATATATCATTCTCCATTTCAAAACCGAACAAACAACAACAACAACAACAATAATAATAAATAAAACAATGTTTACTGAGCCTGAGTGACGATCAGAAAACCTTTCATAAAATTTTTTTTATGTGTTTTTATTTCGTGGAAAGAATAAAGAAACGGGGAAAAGAGGAAGATGACAGTTGGGGTATACGAGAGAGGGATGGAAAGAGTGTAATAGATGAAAATACAAAGAAAAGGATCAATAGAGATACAAAAAGAGAGAGAGATCGAAATACAGAGAAAAAGAGGGATTAAGAAAAGAGAGACTGATAAATGAAAATGCAAAGAGAAAAACAGATTAAGACACAAAAAGAGAAAGAGAAAGATCGAAATACAGAGAGGAAGAGAGAGAGAGAGAGATGGAGTGAAACGAAAAGACACAGAAAAAAAGTTACAAGAAAGACTGGAAATGGAAAGAAAAGCGTGTGAGATGAAGGCATTGAAAGGAGTTACAAAGAGAGAGAGAGAAAGAAAGATCGAAGTATACACACAGGAAAAAAATGAGAGAGAGAGAGGGAGAGAGACAGTTGGGTGACACGAAAGAGGGAGAGAAAGAGTGATATATGAAAATACAAAGAGAGGAACAGATGAAGACACAAAAAGAAAGGACTAGAAAGATCAAGGCACAGAGAGTAAGAAAGAAAATGAGAAAGAAAGACAGAAATAAAAAGAGACAGAGAATAAGTTAGAGTGAAAGAGAGAGAATAAGGAGAGAAAGAGTGAAAGATGGAGACACAGAAAGAAGTTACAGATAGAGAGAGAGAGAGAGAGAGAGAACAAGACGCAGAAAGGAATAAAGAGTGAGTGAGATAGATACAGAAAGACACAATAAGAAAGGTAAAGAGAGAGAGAGACAGACCGAGACATAGAGAAGAAGGTAAAGGGAGAGAAAAAAGGACGGAAGAAAAGTACACATACGCATACACACACTCATATATATAAATATTAATGTATATTATTTAAACTTATTTATGTATATTGTTTTTATTGATGCGAAAAAATAAATAAATAATAAAAATTCCTTAACGAACGAACAAACGAACGAAGAAACAAACGCATAATACACGCACACGCACACGCACACACTACTACTACTACTATGTGTTAAACGTCAAGAGAAAAAAAAAAAAAAGGTAATAAAAAATTATTTGTCGCCGCGTAATCGATTCAAATCCATTTTTTTTCCTCTCCATAAAAAAAAAAAAAAGAAAAATGAATCGAGTGATAAATGAATCCCAACAGTAAATATCATCGTTCGTTTTATACCCCCCCTCCCCGTCGGTCACCTCCCCCCTCACTTCTCCCGTGGGAAAACATTTTTTCCTTCTTCAAACACAAAACAAAAATTTTTTTAAGTTCGTGACGTCACTACTTCTTACTACTACTATTCTCGTAATGCTAGTAAAACATGTCGCGTTTGTATATATTTGTTTGTCTGTTTGTATCATTCATACGTTTCGCATTAAACTCTGGAGAAGTTTCGTAAAAAAAGGGAATTCCAGTCGTCGTCGTTGGAGTTTCTTCCAGTCAATTATTTTCCTTTCCCATTTCCAACCTGGAATGTTTCGCGTGGAGAAAGACTAAGATGTACGAACCGCGGATTAAAAAAAAAAAAAAAAAAAAATTTCGTTCCTTTCGAAATGCTTTACATGTAGTCCAAAAAATAATAATGATAATAATAATAATAATAATAACGGGAAAAAAAAAAAATGAAAAAAAAAAAAAAATCTTTGCCCAAAGCATTGGCTTCCATGTCCCGTATCGAGATATATTATACAAATAATATTCACAACGAACGTGTACCATACGAAAAAACCAACTCGGAAAAAAGTGACGTCACAACACGACGACAGCATAAATTTTAAACGATGACGTCAGGGAAAAAAAATATTTCCCTTTCAATCCCTCCCCTCCGTTCCCTTTCCCTTCCCCCTCCACCCTCCCCGATCGTTCGTTTACGTAAGAACGCGATCGCGTGAAATTATGTTGTGAATTTAAACGTGTTTTAAAAAAAAATAATAATAATAAAAAAAATTCAGGCACGCACTCCAGTCACCTTCGAGGCTATTCGTTATAGAAATATAAAATGACGTTGTTGTGTGTATTGTTAAACACGTGTCAATATAGTCATTTTAAATAAAATCAATTTGAAAAAGTTGAAATCCATGTCTGCATATTTTAGGTTGTACGAAGTTAGTTTCCAGAAGACCATCGTGTTCGTTAGGTCGGTACGGTCGGTTCGTGTAACAAACAAAACCAAAAAAATTTTTTGTCTTTTTCTTTCTTTTTAAATTAAAAAAAAATTTATTTTTATTGTAAAACAAACGACAAACGACAACCGATACGTAGATTCGTGTTTGTGCGCGTGTGATTTTTTTTTTTTTTTTTTTATTCGAAAAAGTTTATTAATATTAATAATAATAATAATTTAAATAATGTATGAAATGTGATTAAATAAATATTATTGTTTGTTTCGTTCGTATATCACATCAACGCGTTTGTTTGTTTGTTTGTTTGTTTTCTCGTTTGTACGAAATAACCCGAATTGTTTTTTTTAATTTTCAAAAAAAAAAAAAATTTTTTTAAACGGGGAGTCAAAAAAAAATGTTTTTTGTTTTTTCTTATAAGTAAAATTTTTGTGTGTTTGTTTAAATTGTGTCGCGTTTGTTGTTGTAGTTGTTTGTTTGTTATTAATTAAATATTTTCAACGAGGAGTGATATAAGTGAATTTAATGATTATCATGTGATTTTCGACAATTATTTTTATCATTATTAGGTAAATTAAAATTAATTTTTTTTTTGTATTAATAATAATAATAGAATAGGTAGTAGTAATAGTAGTAGTAGTAAAAAAAAAAAAAAAGCAGAAGAAATATAAAAGAATAAGAAGAGAGATAGAAAGAGAGAAAAAGTTGTTTTCGTGTTTGAAAACGTGGAATTAGCAATCACAAGAATTTTTTTTATTTTTTTTCATTCTGGTTTTTTTTTTTTTTGTTTTTGGTTTCTTTTTTTTTTTTTTATCTTCTGGTATATAAGAATCTATTTGTACCTGTTTGCGTGGATAATTAGGATACCATGTTATTCATGATTTAAAACGGATGCTAAAAGAATAATAATAATAATAATAATAAGGAGAAGAAGGAAAAAATTCTTTTTTCGTTGTTGTTTTGGTTGTTTCCATTTGATTTTTGATTGGTGAGTAACAAAAAAAAAAAAAAAAAAATTGTTTGATGATTGCGTTTTGTGTTTGTGTTTGTACGTACGTACGTACGTTTGTACGTTTGTACGTAACCAACATACCTGAAATTAAATTAAATTTTTTTTTTCTTTTTCCATTCTTTCTTTTTTTTTTTTTTTTTTGTACTTTTTCCATTTTTTTTTCTTCTTCGTAACGCGCGCATTTTTCATTGTTGTTGTTGTTGTTGTCGTTTTCTTTTTTTTTTCAATTTCGTTTTTTTTTTTTTTTTTTTCTGCAAATGAAGTAAATTGTTTTTATTAATGTTGTTGTTGTTGTTGTTTGTCGTCTTTTTTTTTTTAAAATAAGGTTTTCGTTTGTTTCGTTTTGTTTGTTTGTTTGTTTGTTGCGGGGAGACGTGCGAGAGGTTTATTTTTAAATTTAAAAAATTATTATTATTATTATTACTGGGTTGCGAACGTTGTTTTTTCTCTTTCTATCCCGCGCGTGTGATGTACGTTCCAGTTAGAGATTTTTCATTTTATTTCTCCAAAATTTTTTTTGTCCAGCAACAAAAAAGTTTGTTCGCCGATTGAGATAAGTTTTTTTTTCGTTTCGTTATTAATATCATTATTATTATTATTATTATTGATTAAACTTTGCAAAAAATTCAGTTCGATCGAGTGTTCGACGTTTCCCAATCGTCGGACGACGCTGGAAATTTATTAATTAGTCATGCTGGAACGTATCTTTTAAAACTGTAATTATTATTAAGAAAAAAAAAAATGGAAAAAAATGCTGGAAGCATTTTTTTCCATTTTTTTTTCTTTTTTGTTTCTAATTCGAAATTTTTGGAATTTAAATTGAATTTTAAGAGAGATTTTTTTTTTTTTTTGAACTGTAGAAAAGAG